GTGAGACCCTGTCTCAAAAAAAAAAAAAAAAAAAAAAGAAAAAGAAAGAAAGAAAGAAAAGAAAAGGAAAAAAAGCTCTTTCAGTGATGAACTCAGTGTAGGCCTGACTTTGGGGTAATTGGACTGACCAGAAAGTGTTTATTGAATTCCAGAGACTCTTCTTTTCTGGGAAGCTTCATCTACTTTTCAAACAGTAAAATATATTTTTAAAAAATTTTGTACATATTTTATGATTATTTAAACAGGAAAAAAAAAGAACCCTGCACCCACAATATAGGGTGTGTTATATCCAGCTTAGCACTGCTCAACAGCAGCAAAGCACTTTCTAGAAACACTTACCTAGATTTTATAAATATAGATTTAGGAAGTTTTACATATTACTTTCATGTATGATGTGTGTGCAAGTTAACTTTCCTTAAACTTTTTTTTGGGGAAGTGGGGGTAGCAGGAATTGAACTCAGGAGCACTGAACCACTGAGCCACATCTCCAGCCCTGTTTTGGATTTTATTTAGAGACAGAGTCTCACTGAGTTGCTTTGTATCTTGCTTTTGCTGAGGCTGGCTTTGTACTTTTGATCGTCCTTCTCAACCTCCTGACACTAGGATTACAGGCATGCACCACCGTGCCCGGTTTCCTTATGTTTTAATGCTCTTTAGAGGATAACCCCTATAAATATCAACTACTGAAAATAAGTCATCATATTCATATTGTCTTATTTCAGTTTGCTATCCGGCCTCAATGAAACAAGTTAAGAAATAGTGTTCTTGGTTGTTTATGGTAATCATGGATGCCTCTTTTTCTTTTCATAATAAAGAGCAACAAAAAATGTTCAAAGTTATTCAAAGGGTGGCAGTACTATTTATTTTTTATTCTTTTTAGTTAAATATGACAGTAGAATGTATTTGACATACATACAAAGAGTATAACTTCCCATTCTTGTGGTTGTACATGATGTAGTGTTACACATTTCCTATATGAATATAGAAAACTAATGTCCAGTTCATTTTACTATCTTTCCTATTTCCATCCCCCTTCTGTTTTTCCCCAATTCACAGTATTATTTATTGAAGTAAGGAACATAAGAAGAATTATTAGAGCTGGGGATGTAGCTCAGTGGTAGAGCTGTTCAATAAAAGGGAATTGAAAGCATTTCAAAATCAATCACTCCACATAAATATGGCCAAATATTAGTCTGATATATACCATAATCTCTTTTTATGGTCTTACCCTTTGCTGCACATTTGTTTCAATAGGATTCCATATTTTGGGTATGCATATCAAGAGATGACACCAAACAGAAGTTGGAATCATTATGGTTAACCTGAGTATGTTGGAAACGAAAGAGAGGCTGAACATTATTATACACAGGCCATGAATCAGAGTGAATGTTAGCTACACTATAAAACAGACAGCAAAGTTTGGGTGGAATAGTCACCAGCAATTTCCGAATAACCAATAGCTGATTGACAGGTAATATCTCTCATGTCCCAAACCCATATTTGCTGCATGGCTGCTATGATGCTTGATTTTTTGGCTAAAATAGGACTCGTCAATTTGCAAGTAGTGAGCTGTACCACCACCCTATTTCAGAAATGCTTGTATGGGGCTGGGGATGTGGCTCAAGTGGTAGCGCGCTCCCCTGGCATGCGTGCAACACGGGTTCGATCCTCAGCACCACATACAAACAAAGATGTTGTGTCCGCCGAAAACTAAAAATAAATATTAAAAAATTCTCTCTCTCTTTAAAAAAAAAAAAAGAAAGAAATGCTTGTATACTTGGAGATAGAATTGTAGATATTCAATCAATGGAAGAATTTGAACAATTTGACCCAGGGAGACAAATTGTTCAATTGACCCAATCTTCTGTTGAAATGCCTCCAAGCAAGATAAAAAGAAACATAGTAGAAGACTGAAAAGAAGTCTTCAGAAATCTTCAGAGAGGAAAAGAAAAAGGAGATAACCAATTTCGTGAAAATCAAGGAGGAAAAAGTTGTGAAGAGGGATAGATCAGTCTTGGTTTCACTGTAGGAAAAAAACACTCTAAATCAAGCAGAAAATAATTTATTAAGTCGGGGAATTAGGTGTATAGCAAATGATTGGAAGATCAGTGTGTGGGAGTCAGCACTGAATGGATGAGTAAGCTCAAGACATCTGTAGACACTATCCTGTGGTTAGGAAGTTGCTGCTGTTGAGATTTATTTATATATTTGTTTATTATACATGACAGAAGAATACAGTTCAATTCATAGTACACATATAGAGCATAATTTTTCATGTCTCTGGTTATACACAAATCATTTGTGTTTTCATACATGTACTTATTATAATGATGTCTGTGGTTGAGTCTTTATGGCACAGCCACGGTGGCCTCCCAACCTCTGCAAGGGCGGAATGTTCATTTTGGCCCCATCCTTGACCTGGCTCACCAAAAGAAATAATAATGGGAAAAACAGCCTCTTTCTATACTCTGTTTATACCAAAGAGACAAAGTCCAGTTTGCAGACAGCCTAATTCTCAAAGTGTAATTCCCCAGACCAGCCACATGAATAAAATCTGGGAACTCAGAAGAGAAACAAATTCTCTGTTCCCACATCAAAATTTAAACTCTTGAGGTAGGCCTAACCATCTGTTTTGCTTCTTTGTGTTGTTTGTTTATTTGTCTTTAGGGGCATATGTTGGGGATAAACCCAGGGCTTCACGCATGCACATCCCCAACCCTAGTAACCTATTTTTTTTTTTTTAAACAAGCCCTCCAGGTGATCCTAATACATGCTAAATTTGAGAACCATTGGCCTAAAGAATCCCAGCCTATTTAAGGGAGTCTGGAAAATAACAGTTTTATTTTTAGTTCTGCAGTACCAGAGGATGACATGGGGGTAGGAATTGGTACCCAAAACCAGTGACCACATCCGGCAAAGGAGAATGGTCAGTGGTGTCAGAGGCCTCAATGACAGATGGAATATAATGGTACCTGAAGAGAAATGGTTGAATCTCTCAATTAGGAGATCACTGAAGAGTTTCTGGGGTGGGGCATGCAGGATAACTGATGAAATGACATTAAGTCCAATTATGATGGACTAGGCCTGAACATAGAGAACTCTTATACTTGGGGTGGCTGTGCAACAGAGACAAGACATGGGTTTTCAGCTGGAGTTCAAATCTTCTGCTTCCCCCACGACCAGGTCTGTGCCCTGTACCATCCTGGTTCCATTTCTACAACTTTTTTCAGGATCTAATATGTATCAGACACTGTACTAGGCCCTATGTCATCTTTAATCTTTATAGCCACCTTGTAGGATAAGTAGGAAAATTTAGCTGAATTGCCTATGGCCACAGTCTGTCTTGCTGCTCTGAGGTTTGAGGTCTGTCCCTATGCCTTCCGTTCTTGCTCTAGAAATTCTCTGGACTCACTGAGATGTGTTTTTATGAAAGATATCATATATGTTTTAAAAATACATGAAGGTATGTTTTTAGTGAGAATATAGAAGATTCAGTTCTTTTTATTTATCTTGTTTTCATTTCACATGATTTTTTAGACATAGAGGACAAATACCTTATATACATATACTGATGAAAAACTTAGTTTAAAATGCTTGGTCCTCATATAGACTTCACTATTAGAAAATATAGCTTGTGTGTGTGTTTGGAGGGGGGGAGAAGTACTGGTACCCCTGAGCTATATCTCCAGCACTTTTTAGGCAGAATCTCACTAAGTTGCCCAGGCTGGCCTTGAACTTATGATCCTCCTGCCTTAGCTGGAATTCTAGGCATGTGCTGATATACTTGTGAAAATATAGCATTTCTAAGTATTTTTTTTTCATAACAGTATTCCTGAGCTGCTTCTGGTTATGAAACTAATGATCTTTCACTATGTAAAAAAGACTAAATCTGGGGCTGAGGTTGTAGCTCAGCAGTAGAGCCCTTGCCCAGCATGTGCAAGGCCCTGGGTTCCATCCTCAGCACCACATATAAATAAATAAATAAAATAAAGGTATAAAAATATTAACAGTTAAAAGATCCCTGAATATTAGCAGTACCTCACTTTTCCTTCATCTGGTGAACATTCTCCACTTATCAGAAGAGATGGCCCTCATTACTTACAGTTCTTTCTGGGCTCCTCCTCCTATTCCACACCTGTCCCGATTGGTGGGTGTGGCTTCCCCACTTCCCAACAAGCCATTACTCTTGCTTCTTTCCACAACTTTATAATCTCTTCTTCCCTTTATCTGCCTTACATATATATAGCCTATTTATACCTTGCTTTTCCTCCTGACTTCCTCTCCGCTTCTCCAATGAGCACAAATAAGACCAGGAACCAAGTGTTATAAACAGGCACCTCTCCCGAAGATAGACTTGTGAACCCATTTCTCTTTACAACTCATTGGAAGCCCGGGGTTGTGGCTCTCAACGGTAGAGCACTTGCCTAGCACGTGCCAGGTGCTGGGTTGGATCCTTAGCACCACATAAAAATAAATAAAGGTATTGTGCCCAATTATAACAACAACAAAAAAATCAACTCATTGGAAAGCAAAACAAACATCTAGCTGGATGTGGTGGTGTGCATCTGTAATCCAATGATTCAGGAGGCTGAGACAGGAGGATCACAAGTTCAGCAACTTAGTGATACCCTGTATCAAAATAAAAAAGGACTGGGGTATAGTTCATTGGGAGAGAGCCCTTGGGTTTAATCTCCTGTACTGCAAAAAAGAAAAAAAAAAAAGGAAAGAAAATACATTTTTAACATTGGAATATATGGTTAAGAGTTGTTTGAAAGGCTTCCTTTTAGAGTTCGGGATATAGCTCAGTGTAGGGTAACTGGCATGTGTGAGGCCCTGAGTTTGATTCCCAGCACTAAAAAAAATAATAAAATTTAAAAAATTTTAAAAGCCTCATTTTTTTTAATATAATGTGTAACTTAAACACTTGTAATTACTTAACATTATGAATGTTTAAAAATCAAATTATAAATGATTTTAATTAGTATTTACTTTCTCATTAGCTAAGAAATCTTCAAAGCAAACTTCTCATAAAGGAAAGTATGTTGCAAGAGATGAAGAGTGAGCTAGAAAGTTATAAAGAAAATAACACCCAGCAGTCATTCCAGATAATGTCCCTGAGAGATGATATCCAGGACCTACAGGAACTAATTGCTTCTCTAACCAGAATTAAGTCTTTGAAAAACACCAACATTGAAAGTCTTGAAAGAGGCAACTGGGAACTAACTGAACGAGTTACAGCACTAGAAAAACTTCTAAAGTAAGGAATTTTCTGGTTTGTTTTAAAACAAGTCTTTTGCCATTTGTTTGCACATATAGGTGAACATTATACTCCTGATTAGTCACAGAATTTAAATCTAGTAAAATTTCACCTAATACCTGAATCAACATTATAATAGTTAAAAAAAAAAAAAAAACCTTTTGCTGGTATGTCACGTACTATAAGAATCATGCCTTTAAAGTATATAGAATGCAGTAGTTGCACAATCATCACCACTAATTTCAAAATATTTTCATCACCTTCAAATTACCAGCCACTTACCAGTTACCCCTCATTCTATTCTCCTCCAGGTCCTGAAAACCACTAAGCTTTCTGTCTTATGGATTTGCCTTTTCTGGATATTTCATATGATGCAATTATAATGTATGAGGCCTGTGTCTGACATCTTTCATGTGCCAAAATGTTTCAAGGTTCATAATTCAGTGCAGGGTAGCATTAATCAGTTCTTCATTCCTTTTTATAGCTGAATAATATTCTATTATATGTATATCACATTTGGTTTATTTATTTATGTAGGGGTCATTTGAAGCAAAAAAGTTTTTAATGAAGTTTAAAATTTTCTAGTCACTTATATCTTTGGTGTTATATGTAAGAAATCATTGATTAATCCAGAGTCACATTTACATCTATCTTCCCCCCACCGCCCCACCTTTGGAACTGGGGATTGAACTCAGTGATGCTTAACCACTAAGCAACATCCCTGGCATTTTTTTCCCCTAATTTTGAGACAGGATCTCCCTATGCCAGTTCTACACTGTTAATTACTGTAGCTTTATATAAGTTCATTTAAAGATCATTTCAGTTTGTCAATTACCCCCCAAAAACGTAACTTGAATTTTGACAAAGATTATGTTGAATATATATATATATATATATTTTTTTTTAATTTGTTCTTTTTAGATATACATGACAGTAGAGTATATTTTGACATATTGTATATATATACATACATATATACATATGTATGTATGTATATATGTGTATATATTAATATATTGATATTGTCTTCATTCCATGCACATGGGGTGTACTTCCATTTATTTGGGTCTTCTTTAATTTATTTTAATAATTTATTTTGGCACTGGGGATTGAACTCGGGTTTGCTTTACCTTTTTATTTTGAGACACAGGGTCTTGCTAAGTGGTAAGGGTCTTGTTAAATTGCTGAGGCTGGCCGCAAACTTAATCCTCCTGCTTCAGCTTCCCAAGGAGCATGTGCCACTGCTCCTACCTTCTTTATTTGTTTTAGTGTGACATATTATAGTTTTCAGTTTACATGTATTTTGCTAAACTTATTCCTAAGTATTTTTCTTATTTATGAATTATAAACAAAACTGTTCCCTTAATTTCATTTTTAGATTGTTCATTTTTAGGGATTAGAAGGACAATTGATTTTTGTTGTTGTTGTTGTTGTTGTTGCTGGGGTTAGAACCCAAGGCCTTGCACATTCGAGGCAAGCACTCTACCAACTGAGCTATCTCTCCAGCCCAACAATTTATTTTTTTTATGTCAATCTTCTGTCTGCAATCTTGTTTAACTTGTTTATTAGCTCTAATAGGTGTGTGTGTGTGTGTGTGTGTGTGTGTGTATTAAGATTTTCTCTATACAAAACTTTGTTATCTGTGAGATGGTTTGACTTTTTCCTTTCCCTTTGGTGTTTTTTTTTTCCTTGCCTAATTGCTTTGCCTTCCACTATTCAATACAATGTTGAATAAAAGTGGCAAGAAGTCAGCATCCTTGACTTGTTCCTGAAAGCCCAGAAGAAGGCTTTCAGCCTTTTACCAGTAATATGATGTTAGCTATGGGATTTTATAGATGCCCTTTATCAAGTTGAGGATGTCCCTTGGATTCCTAGTTTGTTGAGTAGTTTTATCATGAAGGTGTGTTGATTTTGTAAAATGCTTTTTTTCCGGCACCTTTTGGGATCATCGTGTAGTTTTGTCCTTCATACAATTTGTTACTTGTAGACCTATGGTTACTTAGTAGGTTTATAGAGAAAGAAGGCATTTGATCATGTGTCCTCGGCGGACGGGCAGAGAAAAACATCATTAATTTTCAGTCCTATTATATGAATACTATTTTTAAAAGTCACACAATGATGAAAAAATGTTCTGTTCAGATATGAATACTAGTGTAGCCTGTTATTATTCAGGTTGTACTAGGCTCTATTAGCTCACGGATAGGTTGAAGTTTCTTCTGTGTCTTGTATTTTCCAGATCACTTTTTAAAAGAAAACAGGAATGGGGGTATGTAACTCAGTGGTGGAGCACTTGCTTAGCCTTTGTGAAGAGAATTAAAAATGTACAGGGAACTAAAATTGATAGGAAAACAAATCTTTACTTAAAGGCTTGCAAAAAGGAGAACGGGACTTCCACTTTTCTTCTGCTTATGCAAAGTGTCTAGAAAAAGAGGACTGACAAACTTTAAGTGAAAGATTGATTAAAAGTAATTCATCATTCAGATAGATATGAAGTTGCCTATAGGTTGATCCAACAGCTGACCAGCCATGGCAAGCTATTCAACACAACTTTGAATATTGCTATAGAATGTTAAGAATTGGATAGAGGTGTCCCCCCAAATCTTCTGTGTTAATGCAAAAATGCTCAGAGGAGAAATGATTGGGCTGTGAAAGCTGTTACCTAATCTGTCTATCCTAGTTTGAATAGACTGGGTGGTAACAGTAGGCAGGTGGGTGGGCTAGAGGAAGGTGGGTCACTGAGGGGGTTCCCTGGAAAGGTGTATCTTTCCTGCAGCCCCTCCCTCCTTTCTCTCTCTCCCTTTGCTTCCTGGCCAGCCATGAGAGGAGCAGCTTTCCTCTACCACACCCTTCCACCATGATGTGCTGCCTCACCTTGGTCCCAGAGTAAAGGAGTTAGCTATCTTCGGAAAGAGACCTTGAAACTGTGAGCCCGATAGAAATTTTTTCTCCTCTAAGTTGATCTTCTCAGTTATTTTGTTCACACAACAAAAAGCTGACTAAAACACAGAGCAAGTCACTACTGACTTGTTTTTTATTATCCTTAGCGCTGAAGAAAAACATGGCTGTATCTACTGTGATGGGTGATTCTGTGTCAACTTGACTGGGCTATGAGGTGCCCAGTATTTGGCCAAACATTATTCTAGGTGTTTCTATGAGAGTATTTTTGGATGAGATTAACATTTAAATTGGTAGACCAAATAAAGCAGATTGTTCTTCTCATGGGTGGATCTCATCTGGATGGTGAAAGGCCTAAATGGAGAATCTTCCCTGCTTGATGGCCTTTGAACTGGGACATCAGCTTTATTTCTGCCTTTGAACCTTAACTGAACCATTAACTCTTCCTGGCTTCAAGCCTGTGGGCCTTTGGACTGGAACTCCACCATCTGTTCCCCTGGCCTAAAGCCTTCAACATAGACTAGAATTATGCTGTTGTTTTTCCTGAGTCTCCAGCTTGCTGACTCACCTTGCAGCAGATCTTGGAAGTTGCCAGTCTCCACAACTGCATGAACCAATAATAATAACTCCCTTTCTATTCATTTATAAATCCTGTTTCTCAAGAAAACCCTGATTAACACACATACTATTTTTTTTAAAGGGATTTCATTATTAGTGTTTGGGGGACAGGAGGAGTGGAAACAGTTCCCATGGAAGAAATTTGGGAGGACACTCTGGACAATAATTGTTCTTAAGCCATTTCTGGTTCCCAGATCCTTTAACTATTGTCTCCTTGCATTTAGTGAATCTAGGAATAAGATTTCATGGGCTGTGAATGTAGTCAGTAGTAGAGCACTTGCCTAGCATGCATGAGTCCCTGGATTTGATCTCTAGTATCACAAGCAAAAAAAAAAAAATTAGGCCGAGCACTTTTTACTTTTATTCTACTGGTATTGAAAGAAGTATGAAAATGTCCAATTATGATTGCAGATTTGTATTTATTTCTTCCTTTTAGTGTTGTCAACTTTTGCTTTATATATTTTGAAGCATCCTAAATATATTGATATATTTCTATTTAATTGTCCACCCCGCTTTTTTTTTTTTTTTTTTTTTTTTCAGTGCTGGGAAATGAATCCAGGGCCTCACATATGCTAGGCAAGCACTCTACCACAGAGCTACATCCCAGACTGTCACTTTTTATTATGAAATGACCCTCTTTATCTTTTTATGTACTTTTTCCTTTGTGTGTGTGTGTGTGTGTGTGTGTGTGTGTGTTGTTGTTGTTGTTGGAGGTCTAACCTAGGGCCTTGCACATGCTAGGCAAGCACTCTGCCACTTAGTTATACCCCAGGCCCTTCTTGCTTTAAAGTCTACTTCGATATTAATAATTTCACACCAGCTTTCCTTTTGTTAATGTTAGCATAGAATGTATTTTCCCATTTTAATTTACATTTTTCTGTGTTCCTATATTTAAAGTATGTCTCTTGAAAAATGTTTAACATTGTCTTTTTAAAATTCAGTATAATAATCTTACATTTTAATCAAATGTTTATATCATTTGTCTCTAAAGTAATTACTGAAATTGTTGGATTTCAGCCAGTCATATTGTTATTTTATATTTTCCCCATCTGTTTCTGTACCTTTATTAATCCTTTATTGCCTTATTTATTTATTTATTTGGTACCAGGGATTGAACTCAGGGGCACTCAGCCACTGAGCCACATCTCCAGCCCTATTTTGTATTTTACTTAGAGACAGGGTCTCACTGAGTTGCTTAGTACCTCGCTGTTGCTGAGGCTGGTTTTGAACTCATGATCTTCCTGCCTCAGGCTCCTAAACCAAGGGGGATTACAGGCGTGAGTCACCACACCAGTCTCTGTTTTATTTTTGATTCATAAGTTTTTATTTCATTTTCTCCTGTATTGAGCTTTTAATACTTTTTTAAAATATCAGTTTTCACCCTAAATTTAGTGATTAAAAAATATATATTTGATTTATTAGTTTCCTTTAAATTAGTACTTTTACAATACCCCCTCAAATAAAGTATTTATGACAGTTTAACTCCATTTACCTATTTCTTGCTTTTGTTCTATTGTTATATTTTACTTTTCCACATGGTAAATAATATATTATTGTTTTTTTAACCATCAGTTTTTTTTTCTGTAAGTATTTTATTTATCACTGAAGAAAAAACACAGCAGCAAGTTCTGTGTTGGCTTTAGTAAGACCAAATAGTTAATCTTTAACATAGCTACTACACTTCAAAAATTGAAGTCAACACAGTCATTACTACAAATTACTTGTTGAAAGAATCTATTCTGAAGAGAAAGGAAATTAGGAAAAAGAATTTAAAGAATTCCTCCAAATCACACATTTATAAATATTGTCATATTTAAAATGCTTGAAAGGCATGAAGTCTCCATTAATGGAAAAGCATTTTGCTATTGGCAACAGAAAAAAAAACAGCGATAGTTTACCAAATGCTTTAAAATTTAAAAGCTGTACTATTTGGGGTTTGCACTTGAACAGTATTGTCATTACAATAATGACTGCAAATTGCTTTATACTCACCTCTTCTTAAGTAAAATCTACAGAAAATCCCACTGTATCCAATGTCTGTAATATTTACTGCACTTAGAGTGAACCTAAAAACTTCCTAAATTTAGTTAATAGTAAATACCTCAAAATACCTAAAGAGGTAGGTTTCAACCGCTAATGGTGTAAAAATTGTTTCGGATCCACTGGTTTAAAGGGTCTTCGAATACATTTTAACAGAAGCTTAACACCTCATTCCAAATTAATATCAGATATTTCAAAATCAAACAAATATCAGTTCTATACCAAGATACAGGTGTTACTCCATACCTGACGGGTTTAACCATTAGTTTTAATTTTTGTCTATGCACACATTCTCTTTCTGTTGTTCTTCATTCTATTCCACAGTTCTGTGCAAGCATCAGGGATTATTTTCCTTCGTCATGAAAAATTGCCTGTCATATTTCTTATAGAGTGATTCTGACATTTTTCCATTTTATCCCCCCTGAAGCTGTTTATTTTATCTTCAATTTTTTAAGTACCTTTAGTTTATTTTTTTTTTATGTGCTGCTGAGGATTGAACCCAGTGCCTCACATGTGCAAGGCAAGTGCTCTACCACTACGCCCCAGCCCCAGCCCCTCATCTTCAATTTTGAAGAGTAATTTCACTGAGTATAGATTTTTGTGTTGTCTGTACTTTCCTTTCAGCCACTTAAGATGTTATTCAGTTATCTTTTGGTATTATAATTTCTGTTGAAAAACCAGTCATCAGTCTTACTTTTGTATCTTTGAAAGTAATGTGTATTTTTCCTCTAGCTGCTTTTAATTGTTAGCAATTGACTACATGGGATTCACAGAGCTTATTGAATCTGCCAATTCATGTCTTTCATTGGATTTAGAAAATTCTTGGGAATTAGTTTTCCAAATATTGATTCTATTCCATTCTGTCTCTACTTTCATTCTAGGGCTGAAGTTACAGGTTTGTTAAACATTTTGAGTGTGTCCTGCATGTTAATAATATTTTTTGAATTAAATTTTTATCTTGATAATTTGAATACTTTCTTTTGGCTGAGTGACTTAAATTTGTTAATTGTTAATTCTGGGGGGTGCAATTCTTAGAAGAGTCACCTAAAAAATATGGAGGATAGATTGATTGAACTCAGGGGCACTCAACCCCCGAGCCATATGCCCAGCCCTATTTTGTATTTTATTTAGATACAGGGTTTCATTGAGTTGCTTGGCACCTTGCTATTTTTTGCTAAGGCTGGCTTTGAACTCTCGATCCTTCTGCCTCAGCCTCCAGAGCCACTGGGATTACAGGCGTGCACCACCACATCCTGCTAACCTAGTTTTAGGATAGAAAATATTACCAATATGTGCAATTGGTAATCAAAAAAGTACCAAATTATTAGCTGCTTATATCAAAGAACATGATTTAACAAGTTTTTATATATGCTATTCTTTGTTGTGCATTATTATTTCTTTTTTCTTTTTTTTAATATTTATTTTTTAGTTTTCGGCGGAAACAACATCTTTGTATGTGGTGCTGAGGATCGAACCTGGGCCACACGCATGCCAGGCGAGCGCGCAACCGCTTGAGCCACATCCCCAGCCCATGCATCATTATTTCTAATTCTTTATTTCCTCATCAAACTCCAATTGAAGTCCCACTTAGGGATTGTTAAAATAAGAATGTTTATCCATATGGATCCTCTGGATGATCACAGTATTTCCACAGTGGCATATATTCATATCTAAATTTCACCTCAAGAGGATTGTTTCACAATGATGTCCCCTAGGGGAATTACTACAAGGATTAACACTGGATTGTTTTTCTTTCCATTTCTCTACCATTTCTAATCTCTTCCTAGAAATACTTAGATAACTGCCTAGCTCTTTTCATAAGAAATATATTTTTACTTGATATACTTTTAAATTTATTTTGAATGGAGGCATTTAAAAGTTATTTTTAATTAATTGAAAATTAGTTGAGTTGGTTTTACAATATTGTTATCTACTTTTATCTTACACAGAGTACATCTGGTTGAAAGAGAAAAAGCAGAGCGAAAAGCTGATCTTTTGGAGAAAATGTTGTCAGGCACTAGCAGATTCCCTTCTTATATGACTATGAAAGGACAAGAAGATTTATTGGATGTTTTCCCAGTGAAGGTGAGAACAAATTCCAATTAATCTCTGAAGAAACAGGATTTTTATTACCTATTGTTACTCCAGAAGATAATGGGTAGAGTTGAGTAACTTATTGGTTAGTTCTCTCTGTCTCTCTCTATATATATTGGGGATTGAACCCAGGAGGGTTTTACCACTGAGTTACATCCTTTTTTGTTTTGAGACAAGTTCTCACTAAGTTGCTGAGACTGGCCTCAAACTTGTGATTCTCCTGCCTCAGCCTCCCCAGTCACTAGGATTACAGGCATGCACTCCCACACTCAGTTGCCCTCTTCTTAATGGAAGATGAAAGGAAGGAGGAGAGTGTGGCAGGCTGGAAGCTGTTCTGATACATGGAAAGAATATGCAAGAAGGATCTGAAGATCTCTCTGGTTCTAAAGAAAAGGTTAGCGGAAATGGGGCTGTGAGATAACTGGGAAAGAGGTGATGGTGAGAGTGAAATATTGGATTTGTTTGTGTGTTTGTTTTTGCAGTGCTTGGAATCAAACCTAGGGTCTCACACGTGCTAGGCAAGTGCTCTACCACTGAGCTGTACTCCTAGCCCCCAAAATATTGGAGTTTAAATTTCTGGTGTGGATTAGTACCTGCGGCTGACAAAATCTGGGTTAGTGCATCTGAGTGTAGGTGGTTGAAGAGGAGAATAGAAGTGAAGGTCACTGGGGTACAGGAATCATGAAGCTAAATTGGTGGGTCATCTCCATTGGTCATTGACATCTAGAATGATGATATAAGTTGGGTTTAGAGGAAGGAAGTGAGCCTGGGCTTTAGGTAGACAGTGATTGATAGGATGAGTTGAAGGTATTATAGAAGTCTGAAGGAAAAGAAGGGGAGCCAGATGTTGTCCAGGAAGTGGTGAAAGTTTATTGTGAAATCCTTAGTTTATTATATAATGTGAATCTAGAACCAGGCATGGTGGCACACACCTTAACCTCCCCCGCCCAGCTACTCAGGAGGCTGAGACAGAAGGATCCCAACTTTGAGGTCAGCCTCAGTAACTTGATGAAACTCTGTCTCAAAATAAAAAATAAAAAGGGCTGGAGATGTAGCTCAGTGTAAAGTGCCCCTGGGTTCTCTATCTAGTAGCAAATAAATAAATTAAAATGTTTAAATCTGAATTTAAGACAAGATCCTATACAATCTGATTAATGGGAGGAGTTTCATTAAAAAAAATTCAGCAACTACTTTCAAAGTATTTTGAAGTATTCTTTATTTGCCCCTCTCAAGTAATTTAGAATTCACAGTTCCTCTCTCTCTCTCTCTCTCTCTCTCTCTCTCTCTCTCTCTCTCTCTCTCTCTCTCTCAAATATTGTTGTAAAACTCACACATTTCTGAAAAACTCTCACAGAGTCAAAGTTCATGCAGTTCTGACCTTTTCTTCCCTTAGTCTTTATTCCTGTGGCTGTTTCTTCCTAAGCTTTTAGTGATACAAACCCACCATTACTTCCACAATTCTTGCTCTTCTTGAATTTCTCAGTTTCATAACAAAAAGCCCCAAAACTGAACTTGCTTACTTAGCTCCCAGAACTGAAGGTGACAGGAAGGTGGGAAGAAAGTCTTGTTGAAGTTATAAGGTGGAATTCTGCTGTGGGAGGTAAGGGAAAGAGGTACATGCATTATCTGTAATTTTTTTTTCCTGTCATGTTTACAATGGAAGCAGAATGACTACAGGAGCATAAAGGAAAGGTTAGGGAAAAGAAATATGACTTTCATTTATACTCTCATGTTATCACGGTTGTTTTTATTAAATTATATTTGATAATCATAACTCTTTAGGAAAATATTCAATTCTTTGCCAACTTTTCACTAATGGTCTTAGCATTCATTGATGATTTAAAAAAATTTTTTTTAGTTGTAGATCGGCACAATACCTTTATTTTATTTATTTTCATATGGTGCTGAAGATCGAACCCAATGCCTCATACTTGTGAGGCAAGCACTCTGCCACTGAGCCACAATCCCAGCCCATCATTGCTGATTGTTGCTTAGATCAGTTATTACATTAGGAGTTACAAAATGATGATGATGATTTTTTTTTTACATTCCTATCATTCCTTCTACACTTTTTAGCTCAATTTTTTATACCTTCATCAACTGGGGATTTTTGGTTAGCTGCTTCTTTAAGCTTAATTTCTACTTTTGCTGTTCCCATTTGTTATTTTGAATATATGCCCAAGTTTCTCTTGTGAGTCTTAATTCTTTCTCTTGAGGGTCTCCTGAAGTTTTGTGCTACTACTGTATTTTGTAGTTCAAAAGAAGGAAAATAGAAGTCTCTGTATTTAATTTCAAGTGAGAAGTTTAACTTGTGTGCATATTTAGGATAAGACCGAAGCTTTCCTGGCCAACAACTTTGAGAGAGACATTTTTCATACTGAAGAACCAAATCATAAGCAGAAAATTTGGGATGGATGTCAACAAGATTTGATACAAGAGGATAAACAAGCACCAGAGTTAGACAGACAGCCATATTCATGCGGATGGGAAACTGAAACCGCACAATCTCAATATCAGAATTTCCTCAGTCAATTGTCTACTCTTCTGAGTGATAGCATTGTTCCCATACCAGCCACAGAGGAAGCTGTGAAAGAAAGGATACTGGAAATCAGTGAAAATGAACTCTCTTGGAAATCTGTAAGCACATCAAAAGAAAAGTTATTTTTTCCTATTTGATTCTTTTAAGATATAGACTTTGCTATTATCTAATTTAGTATACTGTATGGCTCTGAGTTGTAATTTTGATTGTATTTCCATAGTGAAAGAAGATAAATAGGTCATCTTACGACACTGGAAAAAGTATAGCATAGTCACTAAGAGCACAGAGGCCTGCTATGAATCCCAGTTCTGCTCTTAGCTAGCTGTGTGATCCTGGGCAGATTATTTATTCTCTCTGAGCCTCCATTTCATCTGTAAAATGGTGGAGAGGGGTATAGTTCCTATCTCACTTGAAAGGATTGAATTGGTTAATACATGGTAAATGCTTAGCACAGTTTGGTATAAGTTCAATAAATATTAACTGAAAAATATTGCTATGGGAAGATAGTATTTTTATAATGCTTCAACACTGGTTAGTTTAGTTGGTGCAGTTAAACAAACTTGTCAGGTCTGGGGTGTAGCTTACTGGTAGAGCATGTGCTTAGCATGCATGAGGCCCTTGGCTCTGTCCCAATATCAAAAACACATTCATAAATAAATTTCAGATCAGTTAGTTTAATTTACTGGTCAAGTCTATCAAAAGACTGAATCAACATGTTCATGTGGATATATCTTCTTGTCTGTGTCCAAATCATTTTAGTAAAATTTTGTGATTCCTCACCCTGGAATTTAGCTGATGATAAGTATTTCTTAAATTCAATGTGTTAGTAAAACCTACTGCACAATAATCTGTGTTCCAGTTTTGGGTTTTTTGGGGGGTGGGGGCAGGGACAGAGGCAGTGCTGAGGATTAAACTCAGGGCGTTGTGCATGCTAGGCAAGCACTCTACCACTGAATTATATTCCAACCCCATCCATTTTAAAAAAAGAAAAGCCAAAAAACTCTGCACACTTAAAATTCACTATACAACTTCCTCAGTACTAAAAATCTCTTAAAAGTATCTCTTAAAAGGCTTCCCTATTCATCTATTTTGTAATTTAATGTCATCACAAAATCAATGTAATTAGAACATACGGTTTTGAAATGATGCAGAAAGCATGGATCATCAGGAAGTTTTTGAAAAATATCTCCTTTTTTAAAAAGAGAACGGAAGGCCTACAGCAGGAAATTCAGATGCTCACTAAGCAATTGGAACAGCTGCATCAGATTTACGAAGAAACTACTCAAGAATCACCTCAGGGTGGAGAAAATTATAGGGAACAAAAAAAACCCTTGAAACGTCTAGATGGAAACATTGGTATCAATGACTTTTTTCAAAGGAAATCAGACTTGGACAGGAATAAAGTAAGAATATACTGAAGCATAGGCATTTCTTTGATAAAGGAAATGATCATATTTTATTTTTTAATGACTTTAACATTATTTAATGTTTAAAGCTATTCATACTATATATACTTCTCCTACTGGAAAAAGGGGAGGAATTGCTATAGATCCTTGAAGTTTCTGATTTTATCAAAAAGCCTCTCCTCTTTCCATATCTCCATTTCCTTACTGTGCACATATTTGATGTTTATTATGACAGATATGTTAATAAATATCTTAATACACTTTTAGAGGAGAATTAGAAGGAAAGGAATACCAAGGAATGATTCTCTAATGGTAGAATTTCAGGCACCGTGACAGCTAAATATGATGAGTGTCAGTGAGGTGCATTGATGATATTCCTTGAATAATTACTGTATAAACTGTTATCTTCTCCAATTTCTGCTTCCCTGAATGTATAAGGAAAAAGGCAGTCCTAAAAGCGGGATGGAAACGAGTAGGTTGCAATTCAATTTGTTTTCAGAAGTCCTGTTTTTATTTGCTACCTCTTCACTGAATTACCTGTCAAACCTTAACCTATTTTATGCTATTTCTATAATTGCTGTGGCTTAAGGTGTAATATCACTTACTTATTTACTAATGACTCAGTTGGCCTTTCAGCCCATTCATGCATCCAATATACATGCATATATATATATACATATATATATATATGCACACATATGTACATTTTTTTTTAATTTTTAAATTTTTTTGGTGCTGAGGATTGAACCAAGGCCCTCAAGTATGCTAAGTAAGCACTCTATCACTGAGCTATATCCTCACCTCCAATCCAATATTTATGGAACTCTTTTTTTTTTTTTTCGTTTTGCAGTGCTAGATGGTAGGCAAGCATTCTACCATTGAGCTATACTTCTGGCTGGAGCTCTAAGTTTTTCTTCCAGCACTTTAGGAAATGGGGTTTTAAAAAAAATACCCATAAACCAATACAGTGGTTACACACCTATAATCCCATCTGTGTACAACTTTACCTCTAAAGAAGCTGAGGCTGGAGAATTGCAAATTGAAACTAGCTTCAGCAATTTAGCAAGACCCTATGTTAGGAAAAAAAAAAAAAAAGACAAAA